GCCACCAAATCAACACCAAAAGGAGTCCCCAGGATGCATGAGGGAAGAGAGACTTTATTCAGCACAAACAGCTCAGTTGTGAAACAGCTCAGCAGGGACACAGCCTAGTGGTGGGACAGCATGGCCATGAGACCGCTCCATTATGACACAGCACGGCTGGGGGACAGCTTAGGCCAGGTGGCCCAGCGAGGCAGGTCTGGTATCAGCTCAGCTTCAGGGAGGCAACACTGTGCCACTCGGGGGTTACAGCTCAGGATGGGAAATGCCGTCTTCCGTGGAAATTGAAAGTGCCCTCCATCAAAACAGACGTGAAGCTGACTTAGAGACGAGTTCCTGTCCCCAGTCCCTAATTGGTCTGTTTTCATGCAGATGAGGGCTCCAAATTCTCACAGTTTGATTGGTCCAAAAAGCACTGTCCCTATTGGTCAGAATGGAGCCACTCTGTTTAGTGAAGATGAAAATTGGGATATAGTTGTGCAGCTCTGATTGGACAGGGAAAGCGGAGTCCTATCAGTTAGAATAAGATCCGAGGAACTCTCTTGTAAGGGCCCACTCAGACAGCAGGAGCTCAGTACTGCTCCCCGGAAACAGAGAGCATGAGAGGCCCCTGTTTAACACGGCCGCTGGACATCTGTTTATAAATTTGAACCCATTTAGCCACCAGGAGTCCTTCTTCACAGGCACATTAGTTCTCAGGGTCCACAAAAGGAAAGATGCCTATGCTAGATTTCACACTTGCCTGAGAAATTCTGGTCCGACTACTGATCCACGGGCCTGTCTTGAATATGTAGTGACCTGAAACTAAGAAATATCCAAGATTTCTACCGTTTGGAAAAGAGAGGAGGCGAGGAGGAAACAAGATCTATTAGTGCTGTCCTCAAATTCTCTATAAAGTAGATGGAGAATAAATTCTTCCTAGATACAAATTATTTTTGGAATGACTTTTATGTTGGTTTAACTCTAGCTTTGATCCCTGCTGCTATTTTTTTCTTGTGTTTTAGTTTTAAAATGTAAACTTTGTTTGATCATGAAAACGCTCCTTTGCTTCTCCTTTTAATGCTGCTTCTTTTGGTGCCTGAGGAGTCGTCGTCCCCCCCCACCCACCCCCCCAAGAACATGAATTGCGCATCCCTGTGTGTAGTGTCGAATTGGTTATTAGCATCCTGCCTGTCTCTACCAACCATTGTTTTTATATTAATTACATTTTTCCGGGATCTGCCTCTTGATTCTTTGAGGACAGTAACACACTTTTTAGCTTGGTAGAGGACAGAAAGTATTTCTTGCATATTTGTTCTTTAATAACTATTCAGCTCTCTCTCCTGGGACGACAGTCTCTTCTGACACATGTGTACTAAACATTCCCCAGTAATTTTCCATGGTGGCAGGAAAACACTAGGGAAATGGTGCAGTTGGCTAGCAACCATGATAAATTATTCCATTCTGACCCCATAAATGTTCACTGCGCCTCTTTTAGGTCCCTTATTCTGCTGATGCTACAGGAGTGTGCTATGGCTAGAAATATTGTAGTTCATATGGAAGAGTTTCAGGTTTTGCCTGTGTATGGTCATATTAGGTAGAGATTTTTTAGTGGTAGTAAATGTTGATTATTTTCCAAGTATATGCTAAGAGCCTTGGTTTTTACTAATGCTGAGTCATGACTTGATATTATGTATGAACAATAACATTGGATGTTTTTGACCTATTAGCTTGAGAGGATAATTACCCTTCCTCCTTGATGCCCATGATTGCAACAACTAAAATGTAATGTGCAGTAAAGTTATTAAAGGAATACATAGTCAATTCTTTTAAGGATGTAAAACTCCTATCCACCTTATTTAGGAAATTGAATGATTCCAGATGGTATCTCATGTGTATTTGGCTCTGAATTTTTTTTTAAAACTTTTTTTTTCTTTATCGATTTTAGAGAAAGTGAAAGGGAGAGGGAGAGAGAGAGATAGAAACATTGATGAGAGAGAACATCGATTGGCCGCCTCCTGCATGCCCCCCACTGGGGATCCGGCCCACAACCTGGGCATGTGCCCTGACCCGGAACTGAACTGGCATCCTCTTGGTGCCTGGTCGATGTTCAACCACTGAGCTACACTGGCTGGGAAAGACTCTGAATTTTTTGCTTGTTTGTTTACTTGCATGTTTTTCAACATACGGTTAAGTACTCAACTTTGGATTGCTGTGTGTATGCGGCCACCAGTTTGTAAATTCCCTTCAGCCCCGAGCATTTAAAGATATTCCATGTGTTTATTGTACCCGGGGAAGAAAGATCTATGGGGCTGTAAGAGGTGAATCTATGGACTATAAAAAGTATATCTCTTAAAACGTTAGTTTTCAAGACCAAAGAAAATATGACTCATCAAATAGTATATAGTCCAGCCATAAGCTCTAGAATGTGTAATGTTCAAAATAATATTTACTTTTTATCCTCACCTGAGGACATTTCTTTGTTTTTTTGTTCAGATAGAGTGGGAGGGAGAGAGAGGAAAAGAGAGAGAGAAACATCGACGTGAAAGGGATACATCGAGTGGCTGCCACCCGCACGACCAACCAGGGCCGGGGACAAACTACAACCGAGGTACCTGCCCTTAGCGGGCACCGAACCCGGGTCTCTCTGGACCGCAGGCCGACGCTCTAACCACTGAGCCAAACTAGCGAGGGCTCAAAATAATATTTAAATTGCCCTTTAAATAATGCAGAAACATTTCCCCTTAAAGTTGCTAAGAAATTCCCAGTCCAATACAGTAAAGGCTATTTCATTCAAAAAAACTTACAGATTTTTTTTCTCGAATCAAATGCTGGATGTCAAGTAGGCAACTAAGCAATTGCAGGCTCATGTTATTGAGCCTGGAGAGGGTTCTGTGGAGATCAGGAGAATTGCTGAAGATCCAACCTTATTTGATCTTAGGGGAGCTAAAATAATCGTCATAGTTAGGCAATGTTTGGGGTTCTTCTTATCTGGTAGACCATAATATGTTTGAGAGAAGAGTTGAGAAGACATTCCCAGAAGATGGGGAGTTTGATCGAAGGCATAGAAGTGAAAAACTATAATGTATTTTGGGTGAGAAATTCTGTTTCTGGAAAGCAGTACATAGGACAACTGGAGTTGGAGTTGAGGCAGGGGTTGAGTAGATTATTTTTTATTATTGAATTGTATGAGTTCCTTATATATTTTGAATATCAGCCCCTATTGGATATATTCTTTGTGAATATGCAGGGGAAAAGTAGGTTTATGGTTCATATGGAAAAACATACAATAACTAGTAAATAATAATACAAGAAATAAACTGTGTTTCATGTGCTCACAAGTATAAACTTACTTTTGCCTACCCCCTATTCTCCCATTCACTTGGTTGTCTTTTTGTTTTGTTGATGATTTCTTTTGCTATGCAGAAGCTTTTTAATTTGATGAAGTCCCATTTATTTATTTTTGCTTTTGTTTTCCTTACTTCAAGGACACATAGCCAAAAAGATGTTACTAAGACTGATGTCAAATCGTTTTCTATCAATGTTTTCTTCTAGGAGTTATATGGTGGACCCGTATGTCTTAAAACAACCCTTGTCTTATCAATATCCTTAACTTTATATTCTCTTATCTTACTTCTGTCACTCATTTGCCAGAAAGATGAGTTTGGTCATTATTAAATGCCACCTTGTTACTTGGCTTTAAAAGGCATTATGATATCATCTGTGGGACCCATTCTTGTAGGTGGTAACTATAAGTAAATGAGGTAGTGTTTACTCCCCTAAAACTCATAGGAAAAGCCACAGTAAACAGGAGAAGAAGAAAGAAGTAAACTTACTATGCAATTGAAATTCTAGATGAAGGGTCTACATTTTTGGAGTATCTTGGGATACTTGCATTAAATGCGCCTCCTTTATTACATTAGATCCTTTTGTTGTATTCTACTCCAAAAGCCAAATGTACTAAATCCTCTTCCCCTGTAAAAAGAAGCTTCCTTTGAGGAACTTGTCTTTGTTAATCTCATCAGTTTAAAACCTGCATATCAAAACAGTGAATGCAAAGCAGAACATAGCTTTGTTTAGATGAAATGTAGCCTCTAGAAATCTATCAGAGTCTATCTTCTACAGTAGGTCTTGGTTGAACTGCTTTTCTGTTTAAACAAAAACTAATGTTGAAAGGATTTTAAGTTCTGAGGACTGGACTGGAACTCAAGTTATGGGAGTTTATTGACACTTGTTAGTGCATTTAGAAAATGTAGTATTTGACTGGAAACATCTATGTGAGTTATAAAAAAAGACAAGACTTACACATAAAAAAAACCTCCCAAAAGAAGAATAGATCCATGGTTCGCCAAGTCTATATAGTTTTCTACCTTATGTTAAAAATGCATATCCTCCCCTATAAAGAAACAAATTTATGCTGATACATTTTTAGTTTAATATTATAAAGGGTTGGGAACACTTAGGAAGAAAAGCCTGGGGCTTTTTTTGTGTCAAAAAGAAAATTCAGCAGAGGAATTAAAAACCTTTTTGTTCCATGATTTACTATTTCAATTCTATTTTTCTTATTTTGTTACTGCCATAACCAATGATTGCAGTAGTTAAATAAGTCCTGTTTCTTTTTTCTTTAACAATCTTATAACAACCTTAGGATCAAATTGTTTCCAAATTTAATTGATTCCCTAATAAGAAATACCACTTTAAAATGAAATCCTTGCATTCTGGAGAGTATTATAAACAGCCAAAAAGCAAGAGAAGAAGACTGTGTTGTTTTAACGCATGCTTGACTAAGTAAGTGTTTTGCAGATCACTGATAGTCAATAACATTATTTGGAAGATTTGGAGATAATCTGGTTTTCATTAAACATATTTGCACTTTAAAATGCCTCGTGAATGAAGTCAAGCTTTACTACAAAAAGATGTGAAGAAATAGAAAAATATATAGACTTTTGCTGCATTAAGATCATCATTATCTAAGGGATTCAGTTGACCCGATTTTAAAAAACAGCTTGGCTTTTGATTTCCAGAGAGCACAGTCAGATGAACTGGAAAAAATTGAAAAGCATGGCCGGTCGTCCAAAGACAAGGAAAACGCCAAGTCTCTGGACAAGCCTGAACAGTAAGCATACCGCAGGACCCTGGGGTGGGCATCCAGGCTCCGGGTGGGCTCTGTCCGTTTGGAAAATGCAGTGTCTTCTGTTCATCGCTGATATGAATGCTATGAAGCTGAACATCTGTTTGTACGAGTGATACATTTCCTCTCCGCTTGGCTCTGTTTCCTTAGGTTCCTTTATGAGCTGTCGCTAATCCCCAACTTTTCAGAGCGTGTCTTTTGCATCCTATTCCAGTCCACGTTTTCCGAAGGCATTTGCTCAATTCGTCGCAAACTTGAACTGCTGCAGAAATTGTGTGAGGTGGGTTGTGGACAGAGAGCTTGAGTTCTGATGTTCAGTTGTGTTCAGGCATGTTCATGTTCCAAAACGTTTTCTTTATTCTAAGCACTCATACAATTAGAAGGCTAGCAACCCACTGAAGAGAACGTATTACGACTGAGCATCAAGGACAAAGCAAATATTCGAGTAGGCGCACTGTCCCCACGCTCACATGGGGTCATTGGTCGTCAACCTCGGGGGTTGGTGTTCCTTCTGCTTTTGCAGACTCTTCCCTTTTCATGGCCCTCTCGTACATTGAGGCGGTTTACTTACTTCCTGTCATATTTGGAAGGATCCCTTAAGAAAACATAAATGATTCCAATCAAAGGATTTAGGATCAGCAATTTGACTCAACAGAAGATCAATATGCTTCTGAAAACAAGGAATAAATCCTTGGCTGAAATGAGCAATATTAACATTTAAAACAATTTGTCACAAACTTATAGGCCCATTTGTTCTGGTTTTGGTAAAGCACTTTAAAAAGTGGTAAGAAGCTGATAAAGGCGTGTTTTCAGAGGACGTGACATGAAAACTCAGGTTAAACTTTGTGGTTTGGAAGACGTGAGTATGAATTTTTCAGGGATAAATCTAAATCTGGACCTCAGTCTTTGTAAGTATGTTTTGGTTTCCCCCAACTATGCCAAAAATCTGTGTTGCTCCAGAAGTAGGTACAATTAGGATGCTAGCAATGACATTATTTTGTCATAGTATAGCCTATTTGTTTTATGGAAATGGCCTAGATTTATTCACTTTGGAGACACTCCTCTTTAACTGTTATAATGAGCCCGGCTGGTGTGGCTCAGTGGTTGAGCATGACCCAGGCACCAAGAGGTTGCTAGTTTGATTCCTAGTCAGGGCACATGCCCAGGTTGTGGGCCTGATCCCCAGTGGCGGGCATGCAGGAGGCGGCCAGTTGATACTCTCTCTCATCGATGTTTCTATCTCTCTCCCTCTCCCTTCCTCTTTTTCTCTCTCTCTAATATCAATAAAGAAAAATAAAATACTTTAAATATTATAATGAACAATAATAAAGCTTGGATATGACCCCAAATTATCAGTATAACATGAATATCTGCCACTGACTTCAGATAATTCAAACAAAACTTTGTATAATGGAACAGTTGTTCTTTATTCTGTTTTGCAGACATTGAAGAATGGCCCAGGGGTCATGCAGGTTCTAGGTTTGGTTCTTGCGTTTGGCAACTACATGAATGGTGGGAATAAGACCCGGGGACAGGCAGATGGCTTCGGATTAGACATTCTTCCGAAGCTGAAGGATGTCAAAAGCAGTGTAAGTATTTTGTATGAATGAATGCAGACCAACTGAGGATTAGACACTTTCTTTAGTAATAAGTTTGACTACAACCCAGTCATAATAAATGTTTCTTTATGTTCTAAGGTCAAAAGTTTCTTTATGTTCTGAAATAAGTAAAAGTAACAGCCCTATATATTTGTGATTTAGTGAATAATAATGTCTCTGAAAGTGAGTAGTTTTGAGTTCTATGTCTAATGAATAATTAAATAGACAATGTTTTAAAATAAAAATAATTATTTTTTCATTCTACCATGTCTGCTAATATTTATCTTTTTGGACTCTGAGGACTAATTTATTTCCATAAATTAGACAGTGTATCCTTTACTTTCTTTTTCCCTCCATTTGAAGCAAAACAAAGATGAGTGAAAATGGTTTGTAAATAAAATATAGAAGATGATTCCGTTTTCCTACCTACCATCCTCTCCTTGGTACCGGTATGTGGGATGCCTGAGCACTTTTGCAGCTCGATTACTTTTTTATCCTATTTCTGTGGTTGTGTTTCTTTAAAATGAACACCTAAGAGTTTGTGAGTGTCAGTAGAAATATAAGCTCAGGGAAGCAACCATGATGGTAAGAGTTAAAGCCTGAGATTGTAAACTTTGAAAATAAAAGAATTCTGTTTCTCTGAGAAAAGAACCTCTACATAGAACAGAATGATGAAGGAGATTATGGCTGTTTTAATATTATGCTTAAGTAAACAATTAGCTTATAGAGGTGAAAATATATAAAACTGTCCTTCTTTGATAATGAATTAACCTCCCTCATAAGAGATACTGTTTAGTGTTTGTTTGCTGCTGGCCACTGACTTCTCTGCTCACGCATACGTGCATCCGCACCTTCGTTCTACATCCTTGCCCTGGCTTGGGGTGAGCTCGCAGACACTGCATTTCCCAAACTGAGAAAGCGTGTTCCCTCCGTGGAACACCAACAGCACATAATTTTTGTGATTTTTATGATCATATTTATTTAACTGCTATTTTATGTGTATGATATATACTTTCATGGGAACCTTGAGTCTGTTACCTTATAAATTACATTTGTTCAAAAACAAAAGTTCTCTAAATGTGGTAGCTTCTGAAAAGTTCTTAGCAACTGCTTGTTACATTGAAACAGTAACTTTTGCAAATAACCTTGGACTAGACCTAACATTGACATATGTTTAACTTATAAAGATGGATCTGAATTGATTTTGATCATCACTAGATATGATTAAGAGGTTTATTTTATTTGATTGATATATCTTATTCAATCCCCCCAGTAAGTTAAATTTTATTAATTTAAATAATTGAGGCGTAATCTAGATAAAAGTTAAAGAGTGACTCAAGAAGTAGAACTTAAAAAATAATAATTTCACTTGCGTTCTCATGAGAGCTATGCAAAGTCTTCCTGATTTGGTTCTTTTTCTGTAAAACAAATATAACTCTTCTCTCTAGGACTGTTGGTAAACCTGCACGGACAGAGCTGGTACTCAGATCACTCAGAATTTGCACTCAGCGTGCCTGTCAGCAGGCATTTAGTAAATGTTTTGTTCATCGATTCGCATTCTGCTAACCATTTGATTGATTTACAAGTTAGGAAAGAGAAAGGAGGTCAAGTTCCTTAAGGCATTTTACAAGCAAATCCTGTTTCTAATAAATATATTTTGTTACCATTATTATTGCTATATATTACAGTGTAATAGGTATTGTATTATTATTATTATCAGTATTATTATTATCATTATCATTATTGCCAATACTACATATTACTATGAGGGGAGTCTTTAATAGATATGTTACCGTATGTCAAAGTCAATTGTAAAGGGATGTTATTCTTTTTATAAAGATGGGGACAGTTATGGTTATAGTGAACATTCCAGAGAATGTAGTTAGTATCACGGGGTTTGTTTTTAAAACATGTATATATTTTGGTCTCTCACATTCAGCTTATCTGGTACTAACTTTGAGCAATGCAAAAAAAAAAAAAAAAGTAATGTCTCCAAATGTTCCAGAAAGGAGGTGAAAAGCTGTTTTGTGAAGACTGTTAGATATGAAACCATTTTACATTTTTTTCTATAGGTCTACACACATTGCATTGTTTATAGCTCATGGATATGAATTTCTCCATTTCATGGACTGACATGAAATTTATAATATGAATTTGCAATTTTAAAGCTCCTGATTACTTGCAATAATACTTAGTTGTTTTTTTTTTTTTTATTTTTCTGATCTATAGACTAACAAGACAGTCAGACTTCACTGTTGGCATGGTGCTGCTGGTGCCGCTGTATAGAAATGCTGGCAATATTTAATCACCTCAGTTAAGATAGTAGTTATATCTCTTAATAAAAAAAATAAAAATTAGCTAATTTTCTGATGGAGGAGAATAAAAATAGGACAGTATTTATAGTTGAGTCTCCACCCTTGAACAGCTGTGCTCACACTTGGAGCGTCGATGGGAAAAGTGGGGGAATAGATTTGTTCCATTCATTTACTCCTTAGATACAGTTGCTAGAGTGATTTGATATACAGAAGTTCACATTTCATTCTGAATGTTCTCATTTATACATGCTGATTTCCTGAAATTTATTTTCTTTAACACTGTATATGTAATCATTGAAAAAATACATTTTGACTTACTTTGGTCTTTCTGCCTAGGACAATAGCAGAAGCCTCTTGTCGTACATTGTTTCCTATTACCTGCGAAACTTTGATGAGGTGAGACAGTTTCTGCATACAGGTGTATTTTGTCCGTCGTTGTTGTGGAATGATCTGCTTTGCTCGTCTGTGTGGTTTGGCTGTGGCTGCTGCTGTGTGATTCTTAGTTGCATAAATGCCGATTGGTTTGAAATCGTGTTTCTTGGGAATCAGGATGCGGGGAAAGAGCAATGTGTCTTCCCGTTGCCGGAGCCCCAGGACCTCTTCCAGGCTTCGCAGATGAAGTTCGAAGAGTTTCAGAAAGACCTCCGGAAACTCAAGAAAGACTTGAAAGGTAAGTTATGATCTTAAAGAAACTCACGTTTGTCATTTATGCTTTTTTAAATGAGAAAAGACAGACTTTTCGTGTTTTCGAACAAAAAGTCTTTGATAGCCTCATAGAAGTAAAAATTGTTTAGCATGATAAAGGAAACTTTTTTTTTTTTTTAACCAATAATCTTATTCTTTTGTTGTTTAAAAAGTTATGTGTATTAGAAATTTAGTTATCAAGTTATGTTTCGGTTATTTGGATAGCAGTCTCTTTCATCAGGAGCAAATTCGTCCTGTTTTTACTTCACAGCCAAGAACATTTGTAAGTTTATCTTGTTGTTGTTAAAAGATGACTGGTCTCTCCCAAGTCCCTTCATAGTCTTGCCCAAGATGATGGGACTTGTGAGCTTTCCTAGGAACGAAATATCTTCTTTCACATGTTTGGTCAAAAAGCACATGTGGGTATGTTTTCTTGGTAGATGAGAAGCTTTATATCATTTTGAAGAGAGGCTGAAATTCTTCAGATTTCTAAGTTAAAGGTAACATTTACACAAAAGCAAATAGTTTACACTTTTTGAAATGATTTCTGTAAGTAAAATTTCTTTTATACCCTGTTCATGAGGTTTCTTATTGTTGCAGAGCTGAGAACACATTCAGCTCTCTATTGAAGCCTCTCACTCTATTAGGCTCAGAAAGGGGGTGACTAAATTTACATGAGATTTTCATGGGATATGTTACTACATGAAAAGAAGAGGCTTGGCTACCCCTGACCAGAAACCAAACAGATGATGGAGCTTTTTAAGAGCTTCTACCCCGATTTTGAAATGCTTATCCCTATTGATCTATACTTTATGGAGTTATAAATATTCTGGTCGTAGATGATTTTATATGGATTAAAATCAACACAGTAACATTACATACTTTGCTTGTAGTTTCCAAACACTCAGAGCCTGGAGCTTATTGGCATTTGTGGGTGCTATGGGTACCCTCACATATGGGTGCTCATTTATTCAACCCAAGAATGGCAGCCTTGTTTTAAAAATAAATAAAATGATATTCTGTTTGTATAACACTATGTTACTATGTATGTAAGTATAATTTTTAAAAACAAAACAAGCAAACTATTCATGTGTAGTGTTTATCATACTTCAAAATTGTATCAGGTATATTGGCTTGCTTATTAACATCTCTCTCTTGGTACTAGGGGCATTTCTGAGGTATCGGGAAAATACTCCATATTTTGATCAACAATTCAGTCTTGTGAAGTAGGAGTTCATAGTTTATAGGGGAGTCAATAGAGGAGAGGGATGGCAGTCCTACTACCAGGGACTTATGTTTGCTTATGATGTTGATGCATCACTTTAGCCTGTTACCTCATTTATTTTTCATATCTACATGCTTTCTTACTATAGTTATTAAATATATATGTAGCCATGAAAGTAGCAAGTTCTCACAAGACTTAGAGCTAAACAGGGAGAACTAACAGACACCAGATAAAGGGTTTGAAAAGGACCAGGAACCGTGGCCATTGTATGACTTCCTCTTGCATACGTGTCTTCTCCAGCCATGTGGTGACCACAGCCTAAACACTGGGGAGTATCTTAGCCATGTCTGAGTGCTTCCGAGGGTTAAGAAGGTAATGATTTTAACTCAAAGGGTTTACTCTTTGTATATAATAAGGTAGACTTCCTCAACTGGCACCTATAACATTTGATTACTACAGTATTTTCTCAAGTTTGTACATAGTTTGTGGACATTTGGTGCCCTAGAAATGGAGTGTTTTCATGACCAAATAACTACAAGGAGTTCACACTGTTCTCTGAAAGACAAGTTAGAAGCAGTTCTCCAAGTTATTTGACCACAGAGCACACATTTCACAGTGTATCCGGTAGGGTCTCTAGTCGGTGGAACACATTTTCAGGAATGCAGGCCTGGTTCCATGGTAGTTAACAGAAAAGCATGGTATCTGCTTATAGTGAAGGTGGGGGAATGAAACGACAGCTCATGAAATCATGCGACTATGTATTTTGTTCTTTACCAACAAAATGAGAACGGCTTGAGCTATTTACGTGGTTGTCAAACTCTGAGGTTTCCGTTAAACACTGACAAAATTTATAATTTTATCATATCTCCTTTTATTTGCTTTTCCAAAATTAGAGTTTTTGTATAGAAAATAAGATTTTTTGTTGTTGTTGTTTTAACACAAGGAAGGGAATCTGGTGAGCTAAAGCTTAATTAAATTTAATTTCTGGAAAGGATTCAGCATGAACGTACCATTTCATATCAACGAGGCATAAAATAAAAACTGCCTCATGCCCTTTTTGAAATGAGGTAGAAATAGATGTGATGATCTCTGATTAAATGGGAGTCAAATGGGGAATTACTAGATTTGGTTATTTTGGATAGGATTAGTTTAAAATAATGTCTTCTTTGATAAATGTCACCAATTAAAAATAATTCCTTCTAAGTGATTAAATTAGGTGATTTATTTAAGGAGATTCAAATATCCTGTCTACTTTTTGTCAGAAGCAAATTGTTTTAAGAAGATTTTTAAAATGAGATGATATATGTAAAGAATGTATCCCAATACTTTCCATCTAATAAATAAATATCCAATAAATATTGTCTATTCCTAATAGGGAAAAATAGAATAAATAGTGTGATTAGTTTGAGAAGCAGATAAGAAAACTATGAAGACACTCATTTTCTGGCTAAATCACTTCCTCTGCTTCTGCGTAGAGACTTGACTTTATTTTTAAGGAAAGACTGAGAAATCATGTGTGATGGCTCAGACATTTTAATAAGACAAGACTCTCATGTTAACATTTATAAGAGCAGAACATCCTCTGTTTGGTTTCCATACTGTTCCCGAGATGTCCTCAGCTCTCAGGGTGCTCCGCTGCTTTCTGAGCTCAGTGACATGTGGTTTGTTAAGCAACCTGATGATCTGCGTTTGATCTCTTCTGGCTGTCGGCAGCTTTTCTTGATGCAGTCATGCCAAATGATGATTTCTGGTCCAGTGCCTTTCTTGGGGAGAAATTGTAGCACTTGCCACATGACTTAAATCAACTCAACACGTACAGAGCATTGAGTAATTAAGTTACCGGAAGTGGGAGAGAATGCTGTCATGCAAATTCTTTCCTGTATCCTCTCTACCCCTTCAGTACCTGACCTGAAAATGTTTAAGATCAGTTAACTCTATTTTCAAGTTGAAGTAGTATCATTGTCCAGAGATATGAGATATATAGGAAAAACAAGTCTTTAAACTTGTTTGTATTGATTTATGTCTTTATGCCAATTATATATACCACTGTAAATTTCTTATATTTATTGTCTTATTTAAGGAAAGAAAAAATGATGTTATAAACTCAATTCAAAGGCAACTAGTAGCTTCTTTTAAAATAAGTTTCTATTATAATTTTAAAATGAATTATCACTTTAACACGGGAACATCAGACAACATTGAAAAACATAGAGCAGAAAATATATTTATCTGTAATCCTACAGTCCATTGATAAATAACCTTGGTATTTTGGTATATTTTTATCTAGGATGTGTGTTTGTGAGTGTGTGTGTGTGTGTTGCACATGTATGAATTATACCATTGGAATCATGATGAGTATAATTTTTGTTCATTCATATATTATCTGCTTTAGAGTTGGATAATTTAATTACATTTGCATTCTGTCTTCTTTTGTGTTCTTGTTGTGCTGACAAGTTCAGTATTCTCTCGTAGATTCTTCCAATACATTTTGGAAGCTATAGATAGTGTCTCTATTAATTTGTTGGCTGGTTTAATTTTCTTAATTTATATGATTTTGTCACATGCTATAATTTTACTTGTTATATTTATCTTCCCAAATTAGATGGGCATTTTAGAACATTCCAACCAACAATTAAACTACATTTTATCTTTTTCCTCGTGGCTTTTCAGAGGCTTAGTCATATAATTTTTATTTTAAAAATTACTAATATTTTATAATCATTAGGTAATAACATTTTCCAGTATTTTGAATAAATCTTTATGCTAACATTGTTACATCTTGTTTTTATCCTTCTCCTTTGATTGTTGTCTCAATAAATGTTGGTGCATTTTAAACTCTTAGTTCAAAGATGACTGAAAAGAAAAATTTTCTCTCATTTTGGAATGATAATTTTGCTGGATATAGAATTTTAGATCAATGTATTTGTTATCAGTATTTTAAAAATAACATTTTTTTTTCTTCTACCATCTGTTATCGCTGATAAGTCTGTTTTTAATCTAATTCTTATTATTTTATAGATAATCTGTCTTTTGGTGACTTTTATAAATTTAAATTTTTTTTTATCCATCTTTGACTTTGCTTTAATATGTTTAGTAAGAGTTTACTTATTTATTATCTTTATTTATTTATTACCTTTCTCTTTACTTAGTAAGAACTTCAAACTTGAAGATTGTCTTCCTTAATGTCTTAAGACTTCTTAACAACTATCTGTTCATGTATTCACAACTTATTTCCTCTTTTCCTGAAACTCATTTTAGACGTACATGGAAGCTGCTTGGTCTAACCCTCCATGTCTCTTAACTTCTCTTTCATATTTAACCCCTCCCCCTTCCTTTTTGCTATAATCTTCACATGTTCCTCAACATTGCCTTTCAGTTCATTAATTCTCTCCTTGACACTATCCAATCTGGTGTTTATATTGTCAATGCAACTATTTTTAATCATCATCATTTTTTTTTGGTTTCCAAGATTTCTAGTATGTTTTTTACCATGTTTATTTTTACCATTAAATTAATTTTTGTTCTTATTCTGCATATTATTTTTACTTTATCTTTTTTATGTTAATAAAGATATTTTAAAATCCTTTTTGAATTTTCTAGAGTTTTTGTTTCATCTGAAATGAATTCATCTTTTATTTGTTAATGCTTATAAGCTGTCTTTCTACTCATTAATTTTCTTTGTGGTATTAGAATGTTGATTAAAAACAGTTGTTAGAAAATTACAGCCCGTGGGCTAAATGAGGCCTCTTTTTATAAATAAA